CAGAGAATTTGATCACACTTATCCTCTTGCTTTGTTTGTACACCTACTGCTTTCCACTGCAGGAGAACCAACTAAAGATATGGACTGGTGGTAAAATTGTTTGGTCTTATCAAAACAAGCATCTTTTCCTTTGAGATCTTAGAAAAATGGTTAAATGAAAACATTTGCTGTGTTGCCTTTCTGAACTTCTAACTGGGCTTCACTACCTCTACTGGAAGATGGACATCTAAAACAATTGTGACAGCTCCTCGTGCTGCTGGCTTGTGGATGGGGGACTACTGGTTGCAACAGGCAGCCACATCAGCTCCATTGTGCCATGCTGTTTGCTGCTCCGGGTCACTACAGCAACTCCAAACACAAAAAAAAATATTGAAAAGTTGGTCATCGGGAAATTAGTAACGGCAAGGAGAGGCAGCTACTGTTTTAGTGCCTTCATTAAAAAAATCAACTCTGGCTGGGAGCCCGACAGGTCACGTGCACCACCACTGCTCCCAATGGACGATCCGGAAAAAGAGGAATTCAGCTTTGCTGTGCAGCAGAACTGGGCCTTCTGTCCTCACAGGAGTCCCACAGAAGACACTGGTTGGCTCATAGTCCAGGAGTGTCACGTCGATCGGGTGCTATTCAAGTCATGGTGACAAGGCAGGAGGGTCCTGGTTGGCAATTTCATCTTCTTCACTGCTTTTCTTACTTGGGAGTACCATTTTTGGTTTTCAATGTTATATTAGCTCGTTGTTTTTAGGGCTTTTTTATTACTGAGTTGTGTCCCATAAGTACTTGCGGTCTTCTCATTTGCTAGGCATAATTTTGGGAGCAGCAAAGGCGTTACCCACGGGGAGGGAAAGGGCACAATGGCAAGACAATTCCAGGGAGTGAGGATCAGAACAGAACAACAGCAACAATTAACATAAAAACAGGGTGTTTTCCACAGTTAAGAGAGCATTAACAGAACAAACAGGAGCTTGTTCTTAAGAAGCAATGACTGCAGTATTCCTGGATCATTCACGTTAACCTGTGGGCTAGCTATTATTTCAAGTGCAATTAATGAAGTTTAGGGGTGTAGTGAATCCGCTGGTGGCCATAAGGGGCATTACTGGAGTGTGGAAAGCCCACCCCACACATATATTTTGCTTCAGGAGTCCGGCATGCCTGAGATGGCATCCTCCAGGACTTATCTGGTATTTGAAAACATAACTACAACTATGAAATTAACAACAACAGAGCAGAAACTCAGTTCTCTCAGTTGTGAACACCCTTCCCCTGTGATGCAATTACAGTCCCAGCTGGCAGTCAGTGACGGCCAGCTCCCGGTCAGCAGGGGAGAGATGTGGCAATTGCACGTGGCTGCAGGGGCGCCGGGGATTGATGGCCTCTGTGTCCCAGATCGGAAGGGCGGAGGAGAGACGCTGTTCACGGATCCCGGAGCAGTGTCGGTCCCGATGGTCCAACAGGATGCCTGAAGTTGGCAGAAGGTGCAGGAGGGCGTCCGAGCAGGGAGGTTGAGGGATCCCACAGCCAGGGAAGGCAGCTCCCGGCTTTGGCGTGGCAGGGTGAAGTTTTCCTAGCGACCGTCTTTTTCCGAGCCAAATGAGCGAGAGAGCGAGCAGCTACACACACCTCTCCTTTACCTGCCCCTGGATATCGCGGTGTTTCCTCCTTCACCTCCCCCCCTCCCTCCCCCCGCCATGGGAGAGAGACTGTCACTAGCCATCCGAGCTAGGGTGTAGCCACAAATTCTTAGCATGACAATGGGGAAGATTCCACAGAGAGAAAAGGGAAAAACCCAACCCCCAACAAAGCGGTTTGAAGGTTTTTGTTGTTTTGTTTTTTGTTTTTTTTTTTTTTAATGAGGGTGGCCAAGCCGTGGAACATGTTGCCCAGAGAGGTCCAGAGTTATTTCTGATGTTCTATTCCCAAAGAATTTTATACCTCTGGTACAGGATAGCGTCTTTGCTGGTGTTTCATGGTTAACTTGTAGTCTGGATGGATCAGAGAATGTCCCATCTCACAGCTCTCCCGAGCCCCATATATGAATTTATTAACCACAACCCTACGCCTTTATTTTTTAAAGCCCTAAAAGCAGTTATCTGCTTAAGCTATCTCCACAGCAGCTTCACACCATCTCACTGTTTTTCGTCAGCTGCCTCTCTTCTGATAGTAACTCTTCCCCAAGTTTGGGATGCTTCCTTGCTCTGGAAAGAAAATCTTTATTGTCAAGCCAGTGTTGTACAGTTGATAAAGCACATCAGATTGTAAGAGCTGAGCCAGATAATCACTGCAGGGACAGAAAGGAGAACGGTATTTTTCTCTTTAACTTGTGCAGTTCCTGCTACTAATCTGAAGCTAAAGCAAGTGCTTCCGAAAGAGTGAGATAATATGAAAATATTATTCTCAGAAGTTAATTGACATGGCAATCACAGAGCATGCTATGTCCTTTTGTTACTATTATTATGCATTTTGCGTTTTCATGGCCTCTGGGGACACACTGAGATGTAATTTGTTTAAAAACCCACCAGAGTTAACCAAAAATAGATATATTAATGTTAGTCAATGTAATTTGAAACTTAGAAAATTATAAAAATGGGTGTTCTTTTCGTACCTAGAGAAATTAACTGGATTATGCACACGGTAACTCAGAGCAGATTTATGCTCTCAGTTGTTCACTAGAATGAATATCATGAAGGAACTGGATCTGAAAGTTCAAGATGAGCATTCTCATCCAGAAAATGACAATTCAGGCAGCAGAGCTGTAAAAACTGCAAACAAAGGCCCATCTAGGCCAGGATGATGCAATGTAACCTCTTTGCCATTTTGGAAATAAGCTTATTCCTGAAGCTGGAGATGTAGGCCCTTCCAGAGATGGTAACTGCTAAACAGTCACTTTTTCTATTGTTAGAGCAATGGTCACATTCCTGAGTGAAAGGAGCTGACAGCCTGTAAATGTACATCCTAGCTTTATTGCATTCTATTGTAGTCATCTAACCAGTGGCACCAAATTGTTTCACACTGAATTTCAGTCATGAGAAAAAAATTTAAATCTCAAACATTTTTTTCTCATTGACTTTTAACATTACAGGAACTTAGCAAGAGAGGTTTTGCTTTGTCAGCTAGATACAGGCTTTTTTAAAGGGACAATTTATCCTTACTCCAATATTTGCCATATCATATTGGACCTCCACATATAGAAGTACATTTTAAGCCTGAAAGAAAGCTCCTCATTGCTTGCTTGTATGTCTAAAATTACCCATTCACTTCTTGATAGCTGAGAGCACTCAAGCATGTCAGTTTTATGACATTCTCTACAGCTATATATGCTTTGGTTCTTCCAGAAACAGAACACACATACTAGTTAGCACAAAACTGCTCCATAATAAGCAGTTGTACATACATAAGCATAGTGTACATTTCAAAAAATATCTTCTTCCTTTTTGAAATTTCTCAAGCCTCAGGAGGTTCAGGATGTTCTGGTTTTCCTTTCCCGCTGAGGTGTGCTGGGGAGCAGTGGAGGCATCCCTTGCCTCCCGCATCTTCTGACAATGAGTAGATATTTAGAGCATCACTCTAAGAATGAGGAAAAAACAGTTCTGTCAAGTTGACTTTAATTTTGTTTTAACTAAGATAAAATTTCAGTTGGTATTTTTTACTTGAGAGTACTGCAAGAGTCATCCTTGACAAGCTGTTCGTACAGAAAGAATTGTCACCATCTTAGTACATCCATTATAACTTTGATTCCTTAAATCCAGGCTGTTCCTGTAAGACAAAACTTGTAGTTGAAACTAGGTTCTGGCACAACCAGCAAGTTCTGATGGCAGCTCAAACAATTGGAGCATTAGCATATCCAGGTGATAGGTCAACTTAAGACTGTATTTGTAACTTGAGTTTTAAAATGTATACAAAAGCTAGTTTTGCTTTCCTTTTTTCCCTCAGGTACACATCTAACTCTAAAACTTGTACGCAAGTTGCAGTTTCCTTCAGCAGTTTTTCAGCTATAATGTTTGAGCAGATTAGCCTTGTTTTATTACATTTAAACCCCAAGCAAGCACACAGAGCCCAGTTTCTATACACATCAGAATAAACAAATTTTAAACTGTATCATCTTCAAAATCTTAACAAATTTTGTTTCAGTTTCCTTCTGAAGCTGCTTCTCAGAGACCGAAGTTGAAGTTGCTACCTGCATTGTACTTGGCAGGAGAAACCACTCAGTGAATGAAACTCTTGATTTAGACAAAATTCAGAAAAACAAGGTAGATCAGAGACACATCCTATCAGATGAGAAAACTCTGTTGATCTGCCACAGAAGCCAAGATGTCATGTACTTTTGTTGAGAACATTATAAAGGAATACCAGCAACAGTTCTGGGCTCAAAGAGACCGAGTCAGCATAAGAATGATGAATTTAGATCCTGCTGAGCAAAGGAATCCCTCTGCAGGGGAACAGTTGTGAACAAACAGTGCTGAACTGAACAGGAAATTCCAAAGAAAAACAAGAGGCTGATGGGCATATTGTATGCTCTGAGCATCATGGATGAAGCCACTGAGGAGTACAAGCTTGTTGAGCTGAAGCAAACAGTGCAAAATAGCAACGAGAACTGGATGAGTTCAGTTAGTTGACTGAGAAGGAATAACCTCCTTAAAGATGTTGGGAAACTAACAATGAAACTGTAATGGAAAGGGGCAAAACATGCTCAGGACCCTAGCTGGGAGCAGGCAGTGAGAAGTCAGTCCACAGCCATGTCTCTGCAGTTTTCCCTGACACCCGAGTTCAATACTTGCTGCTCTGCCTTTTTTCCCCATTAACAAGACCCTAACCAAAACTCGTTTACAACTAGTACAGTGTGATGATAGATGTACTATCTTTGGACAAAACATACTCCTCAGTGAAACAATAAAGGCATCCAGGATTTTTATTTGGTCTGGTGCTGTTGTGAGCTGTGGGCACTGAAGAGAAAATCTCTGCTCTGAGGGCTTGAGGACCAGGATTGTTGCCCTGGTATTTCTAGCCTTCTGATGTTGATGCATTCTTGTTACACTTTCTCACACTCTTTCTGGTAAATAGAATTGTTTTGCATTCCTCTTTGGAGGAAGCGAGCATTGATTGACATTGTGATGAAACAGTGGAGTCAGAGGGTCTCTTCATCACTGTCCAATCCATGCTCATTGTTAGATGTGATAAATGTGATTCGTGCTAATTAAGTTGTAACTATATTAACAAAATTTGTCAGGTTTTAAATCTATATGTAAGTCCAAAAGAACGTTTTAACCAGGAAGAAAGTGAAAATGCTGCTTTGTGGCTTCCAAAAAGTGTGGGGGGGGTGAGTTTATAGTTCAAAGGCAGGAAAAAGAAGGTTATTCGTTATACCCTTTGCAAACTAAAGGACAGACAGTAAAAAAGGACCAGAAAAAGCCATGGGACTCGTTAAATCACTTCCCACCCCCATACAGACAGCCTGTCCAGCCTGTTCAGCCCTTGGTCCCCGATGCACCCCCTATTCAGGACGAGCCAGTAGTACACAAAACTAGAGGCAGAAGGGAACAAGAGGAAGAAAGTGACAAAGAGGACGAGGAAGCAGGAAGGGAAGATAAATTATACCCTCTTAAAAAAGTTCCAATGGCAAATCTGGCCCCAGGACAGGGACCTATTGGTTACATGAGTGTTCCCCTGCATACTAGGAGCTTTAGAAAATTTAAGAAAGAAATGGGCAGGATGCTAAAAGATCATATTGAGGTAGCAAAGAAACTAGATCAGTTATTGGGACTGAATATTTACACCTAAGTGGAATTGCAGTCTATTTTAGGAATCTTGTTTACAGTGGAAGAAAAAAATGATTAGACAGTCAGGAATATAGGCCTAGAATAAAGATCATTAGAAGCCAAACCAAAGAGATCAGAAATGGCCTATGGCAGATCCAAATTGGAATAATCAGGAGGTAGAACATAGGCAAAATATAAGACATTTCAGGTAAATGATTATCCAAGGAATTCAGGAAGCAGTGCCCAGGGGACAAAATATAGGGAAATCTCTGAGTGAACACCAAGGGAAAAATGAATGCCTGGCAGAATGGTTAAAGAGACTAAAAAAAAGGATTTGCAGTTATACTCAAGCATAGACCCCTATACACCAGCAGGGCAGGTCCTTTTGAAAACACAATTTGTAGCTAAGTCTTAGGGGGGGGACATCAGGAAAAAGTTAGAAAAATTGGAAGATTGGCAGAATAGGAGTTTCAGGAGTTGTTAAAGGAAGCACAAAAAGCGTATGTTCGGAGAGATGAGAAAAATAAAATAAAATAAAATAAAAGCCAGGATTCTAATGGCAGCAGTCCAAGAAATACAAGCAGCCACAAACACAAAGAATTTATCAGGAAAGAATAAAAAGAAGAAAGAAAAATCAGGTCCTGCTTCTGAGGACACAAGACCTATGTGCTTTTCTTGTCACAAAAAAGGACATTTACAAAATTTTTGTCCTGTTTCTAGGGGTACAGGACCCATTTGTTTCTATTGTAATTAAAAAAAAGAGAAAAAAAGGACATACACACACACAAAAAAAAAATTAATTCAAGAAAACTAAGGGGGGGGGTCAGAGGCTCATTTATTTAATATGAACCAAAATACCAGAAGACCCCTTAATAAAGCTGAAAGTAGATTCTCAAAATAAAGAAATCATATTTTTAGTAGACACTAAATTAGTTTAGGGTAAATTTAGAAAGAAACTTTTGAATAGAATTTTTCTGGGAAACAAATTTAAGCAGTCTTTTTTTAATTAGTTAAAGAAAAAATATTTCCTCAGAGAGAAGTGGGGAAAATAACTGTTTATTTAACAGGCAAAACACTTTCCAGTATAAAAATGAACAATATTAAACAGCAAAACTTCTTATTGTTTCCAAAAGATGACAAATTCAAAAGAAGGCTTTTTTTGTGAGTTGCAGCTTAACTTACTTAGTCTGGTATCAGTTCCTTCAGTGCTGGGAAATGCCATGGCCCAGGCCAGGCTAGGTGGGCTACGGTGTGAGCTTCCAGTGCTTTCTTGGGTTTTCAGTCCAGAGCAAGATTGAATAATTCAAGAAAAAACAAACAAACAAACAAAAAACCCCAAACAAACAAAAAAACACACTCCAGGGAATTTTTTTTTTTACTTTAATTGGTTAAGAAGGAAAAAAAAAAAAATTAACCAAAAAGCAAAAGAGAGTTCTCTCCCGCTGTCCACTGCAGACAACCGGGTCTGTGAGCAGGAATGCAGAGGAGTCAGTGTAGTTTCTGATAACTAATTCTGCACTTTTTCTTCCCTCTTTCACTCCTGGAATCAGTCTTAAAGCTGCAGAATTCAATATTCAACACCAACTGAACAGACTATTTAAAGATACAAGCATCATAAAATAAAAAGAAACAATTTGGCTGATAATGAAGCGGGGGGGGGGAGCCCTAGGAGAAAACAGCAGTGTAAGTGTGGCTTTTCGGGAAACAAAAGCACAGGGTGGGGCAACATGCTTTTCCTTGGCAGAAGTGGAGGCTATGAAGAAGCTGGGGGTAACCCTGAAAAAAGGATGGATTCTTCTGCCCAATGGTAAAAGAGCGGTGCCAGGACTTTTGGCCCAACAGATCCCAGACAGCTCACATGGGGGGATTCACTGGGGCACGAGAGCACTTTGTGACCATTTTTGTAAAATTTTATGAGTGTATAAGAATATTTGAAATTAGGAAACAAATTACTCAAGAAAATTGTAATAAATCGAGTGAAGCTAAGGAAGGTACTGGGTGCCAAAAGCTACAGTCCATATAGAGTTAGCATAGAACCACTGTACTTTGGGACCAAGGGAGAATGTGATTTTTGTATGTGCAGTGAAAAAATATTATTTTACTGCTGTTTGAAATACCAGTTTAAAGTTGTTTTAAAAGGTGCATTATCAAAGTCTGGACATCCTGAATTAGCTGCCAACTGCAACCTCATTGAACCTGAAGGCAGAAGAGCACTAATGAGAAAGAATCAGACACCTCGTTGATCAATGGAAACAGCCCAGGAAGATTGAAAAATTTCTCCAAAAGCCTCCAACAGTCAACATTAACTGATTTATTTGAAGAACTACAACTCCAAAAAAAAAGACTGGTAACACCTGTTATTAAAAGGGTCAAAAACATAATTAACACACTGGGAAGGTACTAACCATGGCTTAAAGTGTTATCCATAAATTTGTGTTATTTGTACCTATTGTTTTAATTTGTAGTGAAGAGTAACTAGAGTGAAAGAAAAAAAAAAGACAATTGGTTTGTTTAAGTTGTGTATGTAAACAGCTAACTTTAAAAAAAAAAAAATTAGTGATTTTTTTGGAATGCCATTGGGACAAGTTATGTGAAAACAAATCTTGTAGTTGGCATATCTCCGGAGCTTTAGTGGATTAGGAAAAATAGCTAATCAATCTAAGGAGAAAGATAAGGCAGTGCTGCAGAACTACAAATACTTTGTGCCATCTTTGGAACAAAAAAGTTAAAATAGCTCATACGAACCTTATGAGGCCAAGGGTATCAAAAAGAAACAAATTCCAGGATAAAAACTTCGCTACCAAGAAGATGGACATCTCGGCCCTTGGCTGCAACCCAAGGGGCCTTGAGACAGGTAGAAAGTTAAAATTCCTGAAAATTATTTTCATTGTGCTTACTATAATACCCCTGGCAACTGGCTAAAACTATAACACAGCATGGAGCAAAAAAGAACAGACCATACAGGAACAAATTACAAGAAGACAAGCAATGCAAGAGCCAGCAGTAAAGAAACAAACTATTCCTGATCCCTGTGGGTCAAGGATAAGATGGAATCAGTTTTTGTGGCACATTCACATGTTACTGCTGCCTGTTATGACTGTACCAGCTTTTTAGAAAATTGTGTGAAAAGTCCAAAATTCTATTGAGTAAGAAGAAATTTAGGATTCAATGGGTGAACTCCTTATCCTAACAATAATCAACTTTGTCCTAAATATAAAATTTTCTTTTGTTTTGAAAAATATGATAATGGAAGTTGAAAAACAAAAAGAAACAAAAAAAAAGATAGGAAAAGATCAAAGAGAAAGAGTTAAGGAAATTGAATTAAGTGTATAAACAATTAAAACAGCACTATGGCGACTGGGATTTGCCAACTTCAAATAAAAACCTTTTTGCAAATTTGATACAAGAAATTGCCCTAGACTATCTATTGGCAGAAGAAGGCGGAGTTTGTGGGAGGTTTAATGAATCTGAAAGCTGTGTGGAAATAGATGATCATGGGGAGGCCATCACAAAGCTTGCTGATAAAATTAAAAGAGTGGCACATGTACCACTTCAAAAATGAAATTCTGAAAGCTGATTAGTAGGATAAACTTTCTAAAGGCGTGTAGTGAAAAAAAAAAAAAAATTGGGATTCATGCTATTATGTTCTGTTTTAGAACTATTGTTTCTACCTTGCATGATATCCTGTCTAATCAAACTAATCCACTCAGTAATTCAAGGAATGCAACTTACAGCCATGCCCATGGATCTAGAATCAACAGCAAAAGAAAAATTAAATTCCTTAATAGTACTGAAAGCACAATCCACTTGCACTCGAGGGAGAAAAATCGAGAAAATAGTGACTGAATGCAAAGAGAATACCCCGGCATAAGAAATGTTAACCAAATTTGAGAAAAAGTGTGAAAAGCTGGATGCCACATGAAAAATGTTAGAAAAATTAAAGGCTAGTATGAAGAAACATAGACAATACCAAGTAGCAACTTTTTAGAGCATGAATCAATATGATCAAAAAGAGAAATGGGGGAATTGTGATAAATGTGATTCGTGCTAATTAAGTTGTAACTATATTAACAAAATTGTATTTAGATCAATAAAAGACAATTGTTACAGAGTGAGGGGGGAGATGGGTGAGACAGGACAAAGGACAGCTTCCAGATGTTGGGAGTCAAAGAAGAAGGTTGGAAGAAAGTCAAATAAGAATAGTAGAAAGACGTAGGTCTGATAAGCAGCATCTAGAAAATAGAGCTTCAACCTTGAAATGGGCAAAAATTGAATGATTCCAAGCATGGGACTTAATTAAAGTCATGTTATGGAAAACATCTGCTCAGTCACACAGTGCGCCTGCGCTACCTGCGGGTCACACCTCGGTCACTGAGGAAGACGACGAGCCTTCATCGGAAATAAGACCCTCAAAAGGATGAGAGACCCCCTAACCCATTAGTAGAACATGCGCCGTGCAGTATAGTTACGTAGATTTTAGGAATAGAAACTAGGAGGAGCTTTCTAGAAACTTCTGTAGCCTATAGTATATAAGTGGGATTGTTAGCCTGGATGCTTTGGTACGTGAGGAATGGCGAGCCACTCCCCGTATCCCCGGTCGGAGGGGGACCCCTCCCCGATCGGTTTTGCTCATGCTTTATACGAACCTCAATTATACTAAATTACTTACTGCCAAATTTTGTATATTCTTAAACATATGCACTTTGATTGTTTCATCTCCAATACTTTAATTGTCATCTCCAATACTTTGATTGTATTCATTTTGTTACTATTAAAAACTTACTATTAAATTTAATCTTGTTGATTGATAAATTGGAAAAAAATAGAACATCATTCATTAGAACATTAGAGTTCCATAAATAGACATGTTATGTAAATAAAGAGGTCTTTTTCCTGCTCGACCAACTTGGAATCCGGTGTGTGTCTCTCTCTCTGTGTTGTAACAGCGACATTTGGTGACCTCCAACTGAGGAACGGGCGTGGTGAGATCCTTTTCTCTCTCCCTTTTCTTTGGTTCAGATTTTTTTAGCCATGAAGGTCCTTTTGGTTTCTCCAGAGGACGAGCTAGTTCTCGGCCTCTGGGGGACCTCCTCAACAGATACCAGGCTTCCATCTCCCTGGCGCAGTTTCACCCGCTCTGTGGGCAAGGAGCCAGGGTTTTCTTCCTAAGCCTGGCCATGCGTTCTCGAGAGGGGCGTGGTCTCTCTTTGGTGACCACTTGTGGGGCACTCTGTCTACCTATGGGGTAGATATTGTGCAGTTTCTGCTGCTTTAGAAAAGAATTGATAGCATTCTGGACAAAGTTTTTAGTCCCCGAGGGGAGGGTCCACAGGGGACCCTCGGGGCGGGACCCCATCTCCTGCCCTGGAGAAGAGTAGCGAATCTGATGAGGGTTTTGAACCACCCCCCCAGCCGGAGCCTTCCCATTCTTTCCAGGCTGGGTGCCGGGGGACTGCCCTTGGCCAGCTGTCCTCCAGTGGCCGAAAGTTGGACGGGGCCCCGCAGGGCTCCGAAGTTCCGATGGGGCCGGCTTCGCCGGCCCCGTTTCCCCCCGAACCACAAGGGTGGGCGGGGGGTGGGGAGAGCCACCCTCCCTCTGTGCATTCCCGGTGCTCGGGGGAGGCGGGGAGCTCCCGGTCCGGCCGCCGCCTCCGCGGGGCTCCGGGGCCCCAGTGGAGTTGGCAGCGCCAGACTCACCCCTCCCCGGACCGCAGGAGCGGTCCGGGGGCGGACGATCACCCTCCCTCTGCGTGTTCCCAGCACTTGGGGACTGCGGGGGGCCTCTGGCCTGGCCGCTGCCTTTGCTGGGCTTGAAATCGATCACGGCACTGTGTCCGAGCTGTGGGGTGTCAGCCTGTCACGCGCTGCTCACAGTTGGACCGGAACCCGCCACTCCGCTGTTTCGAGTCGCAGAGGGGTTTAAAGTGCCGAGCCCGGCGATGACACAACCCCCCGGATCTGCACAGGCGCATGGAGCCACTGGGGCCAAGACAATGACAGATCCTGGGGCGACCCCCACCTTGATGGAGAGGTGGCTGTCTCCGCCCTGCCAGGAGCGGGTGGTGCCATCAATGACCCAGCTGGCCGCGGGCGGTGCGCCCCCCGGGGTGATCCCGAACCCCCCCCCCTCTCTCCGCCACCTCTGCCTGGGGTGGAGGGAGCTGCCAGGAGCTGCGGAAAAGCGGCCCTGACTGTGGCCGCCCCTGCGCAGCCCCTGCTGCCACCCGGGATGCTCCCGGTGTCTGCGCAGCCCGTGCCAACTGTGCGGGGCGGGGGCGGGGCTGCCCGGGAGGCAGCTTCTCCTACACCGTGCCCTTCCCCTGCCCCAGGTGGGAGTGGCCCGCCGCAGCCTCTTCCGTTGTCCGGGGGGCCGGCCTCTTCTGCGTCCCCTGCGCCCCCCCAAGTCGTGGGAGGAGGCGAGTCTGAGGCGGCCCAGTGCCAACTTGCACCGGATTCGTGCGCCATGGTGGCGAACACGGGCGTTGCCGGGGCCGGCCTGGTCCCCATGGCCGCGGCACGGAGCGGGGGCGCGGTGCCCCCTCAGCCTGCTTCCTCGGCGCTCCGCCCCGCCCCTGCCATGGAGGGAGATGGAGCTGGAGCGATCCCCACAGCTGCCGCGGGCTCTGCGGGGGCTGGCGCGGCACTGGTTGCCGGCATGGCTCTGCTGCCGCTGTTTTCCGCAAAAGCGGAAGGAAAACCAGAGGGCCTGGAAGGAGCGCCGTTTGCTCATTTTTTTCTTTTGAGTTTTGTATTCGCAGATCAGCTGGTTGGTTGCGAGGAGATGGTGGTTTCAGATTCCCTGGACCGCCTGCAACTCCTGGCCAGCGGTCCTGACTGAAGAACGCCCCGAGATGCTGCATGCCGTGTCACTCTCTGGTGGCAGAGTGGTTTGGCTTTTACGCTTTCACCGGTGCGACCGGCGTTTGAGTCCCGCTTAGGGGGCGAAACGATGCTGTGTAAACCAGCGGTCACAAATCAGAAGGGACAAACGACTGCGATTTGGCCACTTTTCATAATTGACTTCAAAGATTGCTGCTTTTTTAATTCCTTTGCATCCTGATGATATATCAAAGGTTGCATTCACGGTTTCAGTTTTCATCACTGTTTGAAAGACGACTTCTTTTTTTCTTTCTTCGATTCCTTTGTATCCTGATGATTATCCAAAATTTGCTTTTGCAGTGCCAGCTTGCAACACTGATGAGCCTGCAGAGAGATATCAATGAAGGATTTGCCCTTGGGCATGCGAAACTCACTGGCCACTTGCCAGCGGTTTGTGACTCTTTGAAAATATTTCTTTGTGATGCGCTGTGAGCACTGGAGAAACTTCTGCAGGCAGTTTTTGCTTGTCAAATTTATCGCATTGATCCTTCCTTTGATGTTACTGTATTTATTATTGTTCCATATCAACAACCTACAGGTGGAATTGGCTGATGAGATGATGAATGGTCTGATCCCTTGCACGTTTTAGAATGGGTCTTTCTGCATCATCAGTTATGAAATACAGCATCCCTGTCTTTTGAATGCTTGCTCTCCTCCTGATCACAGTCCGGCAATGGTGATTGCAGTTGAGGGGAGCAGATCTTGCAGATATCATACTCCTGGTATTGTGGGAGAACTCTGAGGTGGCCTTTGCATGAAATGTTGTTCTGCAAAGTGCTCTCGATAGTTTTTCAGGGCAGATCACTTGTCATCTGCTCAGCCACAGGTTACTGTATGTGTCAAAATCGAATAATTTTTATTTGTGACCCAGACATAGTCAGAGGCCAATGGAAGGACCCACTGTCTTGCTTGACGGCTTGGGACAACCAGGAAAGGCCATTGTTACTTGACAGGTGGATCTGAGTGGCAGGTTCTGGAAAGTCATGAGACTGGCTCAGCCCAGTTGGTTGAATTGAGGGCTGTCATGGCATTTGAGGGATTTTCTTGGGAATCTTTCAGTTTGATCACGGATTCAGCCTATGTGGCCGACACCGCGTAGCAGTTGGGTTGTTCAGTTTTGAAGGAGGTCAGTAATCCTGCCTTGTTTCATTTACTAAAAACCTTGTGGTGTGTCATTCAGGTCAGGGTTCATCTGTTCTATGTTCTGCATGTGGAGAGTCACACTGATTTGCCAGGATTTGTAACAGAAGGTGATATGAGGGCAGACAAGTTAGCTAGCCCAGCATGGGTGGCACCTCAACCTGATACACTCATGCAGGCCAAGGCATCGCATGGGTTTTTCCATCAGAACGCACATACGTTGCAGAAGCAATTTCAGCTGTTGCCAACTGAGGCTCGGGACGATGTTACCCAGATTGCTGAGTTTGGCTGGCAAGTGTGTGCATGGTAGACACATTCCCCTCTGCGATGTGGGTTCTGCTCACACTGGAGAAAAGGCCTGCGATGTCAGTGCTCACTGGGGGCAGGTCTTTGCCTCTCTAGGCATGCCTTCTGCTGTGAAATTGCCCGACAGTTGCCCGACTGGTCAAGCCATTGTAAAATGTGCTCATGGTACACCGAAGTGGGTTCTTGAAGAACAAAAACGGGGAATGCAGGGTGAAACCCCATACTGTCAGTTGACAAAGGTTTTCTACACCATCAATTACCTTGGGTGCCACAGAACTCAAATAACTCTGTCATTTCAAATCACCACGTCTCGTTACAGGCTTTGGGCGAGATGCACCTGCCTCGAGACAAAGTTCGGGTGTGAAATCTAGTCACCAAACAGTGGGAAGGTTCTTGTGACCTTGTCGCTTCGGGGCATGGGTATCCATGTGTGTCCACAGATACTGGGGTATGCTGGGTACCTTCGAGGTGTGTCTGTCCTGGCCTGCAACCACAGAGACAGAACCCGGCCAACAGGTAAGGTGAAAACCATGACCAAACTGAAAGCCATCAAGTGGACGACTCATTGAATGAGGACTCAGATGACCATGAGCACAGACTGGTCATTGTTCATTTTCCCCTTCTACATTGTTCATTTTGCTTTTTCCTTTTTCTTTTTTAAATAGTAAAAGGGTGATATGTTGCCCTGGTGTTTTTAGCCTTCTGATGTTGATGCATTCTTGTTACACTTTCTCACACTCTTTCTGGCAAATAGAATTGTTTTGCATTCCTCTTTGGAGGAAGCAAGCATTGATTGACATTGTGATGAACCAGTGGAGTCAGAGGGTCTCTTCATCACTGTCCAATCCATGCTCATTGTTAGAGTTCCATAAATAGACATGTTATGTAAATAAAGAGGTCTTTTTCCTGCTCGATCAACTTGGAGTCAGGTGTGTCTCTCTCTCTCTCTCATAACAGCAACACAGGATAAAGACTGGAATTAAAAGCAAACAAATAAAACCCTCTGCAGGACTGAAAATATACAAAAATGGTAACAAGTGATATAAAACAAGCTTGAGCCAGACATCCAAATTCTGCTGTCTTTCATAGCAGTAGCTGAGAAGAACATCTACAAGGATGTGTTTTGGTCAGTGCTTGTTCTCACACTGGCCTTGACAGTTTTCTTTCTGCCTCTGCTGCTGCCTGGAGCAGAAAGCAAGCCTCCATCTCCAGTCATTTCTGCTCAGTTACTGCAGTATGGACAGATCATTCAAAACACTGTTCAGTTCCTTTTCAATGTTCAACACCAAGTATAGAGATTTATATGAATTATCAGATTTTTGGGGCTTTTCATTTTTTGTTTTTATCCACATATTTGTATTTGCATTTGCATATTTCAAATAAAATCATTTAATGTTTTGACTTTTGCAGAACCCTATCCCTAAGAGCATGTGATACAGCAGCATCTATTTCAGTACTTGCAGCATATACAGGTCTGCCAAAACCACCTCAGAAGAGACTGTGAGCTCCTGAAGCTGTGGTTGGGCTTGCACAGACATCTCCAGAGACAACTGCTGAGCAGTTGCCTTCCCCAGCTTTTC